CATACATGGAAACAGAGTTTTATGGGACCCCCAGGAACTTGGGGCCCAAGGCAGCTGCCTAGTATTGCCTAATGGTAAATCTATATACTCTATATCTATATACGCAGCTGTACCTATACCAGACTTGTTTGATGAAGGTTTTAGAGTGGCCTAGTCAATGAGGCCTAGTCAGTCTGGTGTCGTGGATTTGATCTAGTTAGTTTAGCTAATAAGTGATACTAAGTCATTCCAGTCTAATCAATGAGGTCTGGTCAGTTGGGGCAAACAGACAGTTAAGTCAATGTGGCCTAGTTAATATAGCCAGTCGGTGTGGTCTAGTCAGGATGATGTCATCAGTATGCCCTAGTCCAAGTTAAATCAGTGCGTTGGACCGTCTGTCAGCACTGGATGGAAAGACAACAACTTCTAAAGCATCAACAGGATCCACTACTCTGCACTGACAGAATAATAAAGGTTTTTATTTGGGCTTTTACCTGCTGCTCCATAAGAATGAACTTTATTAAACCTTTTTTAGAAGCCTGTCAGTCATTTACTGTGTTTAGGTATTAATTCCACCAATGCTTACGGTAACACAGCACCAGAGTTTTAAGAACGTCTTCAAAGTATCAGAATCAGAATCAAGTTTATTGCCAAGTAGGTTTGCACTTACAAGGAATTTGACTTGGTGTTGCTTTGCTTTGACGTCCCTCTCAGGCGCTGAAGCGAGCTCACAGTGGGATCTCTCTGTCGGAGCTGGAGGCGTCGGTTGCTTCACCCTTCACTTCGTCCACCTCCAACATTTCCTGTGTTCCCAGCCTCATCAGGTACAGTGAGGATTCATTTCAAACATCTGGCGCATTAATAAGCAATGTGAGGCTTTCTTCTGTTGGCGGATTAAAGTTAGCAGCATCCCCACCAATCACAGCCCAGCTTTCTTCATGCACTTCAAAAATGTTTAGTTTAGTTTAGTTAACAACGGCGTTTTTGTCTTTTCCAAAGGGAGGGACGAGCGGCTCTCATCACGTCGTTCTGCGTATTTAAATTCATGGCTCTCTACAGCATCATCCAGTACATCAGTGTCATCCTGCTCTACTGGGTATGTGCTGCTCTGAACGCCTTTCTAGGGGGCGCCGTCTGTACGGTTAAGCACTCAAAAATTAGGAGCAATATTTATGGTTATTTAGCGTTTTTTAAGAGAAAAATGGTTATTATTTTCCAAATCAATTTTCGCTACGTCATTCATTCATTTATAAGAACCTTACTTTGATTAATAAATATTTAGTTTGGAGCTAAACATTTATTTAAAAACTAAATATTTATTTTTCAAACTAAATATTTATTTAACAATCTAAATATTTTTTGTTAAATAAATATTTAGCTAGCACCAAGCTAGCTAAATATTAAGTTTCTTAAATAAATATTTTGTTTGAAAAATAAATATTTAGTTTTTAAATAAATGTTTAGCTCCAAACTAAATATTTATTT